AACCACTACACCACCAGGGCTCCTCTTAAAATACCTAAACCTCAATCTGAATTAGAATCTGTGTAACAATCCTGAGGGAGGCGATTATAACAACACATAAATACTGAACTGCCCTTCCTGAAATGTGACTGATAGATTCCAAGGGAGCCAGCTTATATTTGTTTAGGAGGAAAAAACCAACAAAAAGCCAGTGTTTCTCTTGTTAATGGGTCCTCTGGCTCAAAAATCGAACTTGGCCAGGCAATTCTAGATTCCAAGTCACACTATTTAGTATGGCCCGTTACTGTGGAGGTTCAAAAGGTGAAAGGAATTGTTCATCCTGACTAAACTCTTGAGAAGGATTTGACAATCAGATCTGAGGCACTCTGGGCTGAAGACTGGATATGGAGGGGAGAGTTCTTTCACTGCTACCACCGAAAACTGAGCTGGAAATGTCAGACTGGCTCCTCCTTGCTACAGTGCTCAAATATAGGAGGATGTTTGGCAAAACCTGGGTATGAGCCCTTAAATGTGACCACAGCCTCTCCTGCTCACTGCCACCATCTGCATGTGTTCCAATAAATGTCCCTCTAACAAGAGCAGGGTTAGTACTGTCCCCCGACCCCCCCCCGGGTGGGGGTTCAAGGCACCCTCATTAGGACTTATGTAAAAGAGGCTGTCTTTGCTGGGCATGTGCCAGGCTGCTGAAATGGAAAGGGGGCATGCTACACTGGACTATTTGTGCACATGACAAAATCAGTTAGACTGACAGGTTTAGGCTGAGAGAAGCTCGGGGCTCTCGGGCTATGAGATGCCTAGCCTCCAACAGTCCTTCTCCTGAGCCGTCACAGTAAGATTTATCTGTAAGGTTCCCAGGTGGAAGGCATTTCCCTTCATTGTTACCACATCCAGGCCATCAGCAGGTGACCCCGGAGCCATGACAGCCTACCCCTCCCCGCTCAGTGCTCAGTGCCACACGGAGACATGAAGGCCTCCCCCGTCTCTATAGCTCGGCACTCTGGACTGCGGGTTCCGGGCCGCTCGGTCTCCTAGCAGCAGCTCTGGGTGAAGAGACGGCTTCCCCCGGGATACTGAGGTGCTGAACTCCACACAGAGAGAGGTCCACAAGCTACAGCTTTCAATCTACAAAGTTCTTCGGGTTCAGACAGCTGGGCAAACAAAGGTCAAGGAGAGAAGAGTGTTAGTTTCTGAGGCAGCAACATCCTAGGCCTTGCAGCTCCCTGAAAAAAGGGCACCAAGTTCAGGCGAGGGCTGCAGGGAACGGGCTGGGCCTCCTCCACATGGACAGATGTCGAGGAGCATCCATTTATTAGTGCAGTGGCCACTTTATAGACTGTGGATGCCCTCTTACTTTCAAAGTGATCCCATCACTCTTCCCAAAGGGCCAGAGAGCAAATCCTTTTGACTATGTGGGACAGATGGTCTCTGCTCAACTACTCGGGCGAGGGAACACACAGCCAGACAGACAGACAGGAAATGGAAGCGAATGGACATGGTGTGTTCCAATAAAGCTTTATTTATAAAAACAGGCAGTGGGTCATTGGCGGCCAGCCCCTGACCTGGACAGCCAAGCACAGTCAACAGTTCTATCTGACTGGGAAGGGGCAGTTTTGACAAAAACAGATGCCATGGGCCCTCAACGCTCTGTTGTGGTGGTTCCTCAGAAGCCCCCTGCAGCTGCCAGAAGCACAGCACCCTCAGCTCTGGAGTCAACTGATGTAGGCTTCCCTCCGACTGCCTCAGTCCCACAAAACAGCCCCAATTCAAAAATACAGCTCTCTCCCACTTGCTACTGGGGGCAGAAAAAGAAAAGTCAGCTTAGAGGTTATTTCAAATGGGTGATGTCTTAATATCAGACCCTGAAGTCCACCAGAAAAAAGCAAAGCTGTCCCCTCCGACTGTTAAGTGAGTAGACAGTTTAGAACAGGAGGAGGGGGGATGGGGAACTAAGTACAAGGGCTGAGGAACCAAAAAGGCAACCAAGGCTAGGCATGTGCAGTAGGCACAAAAGTGGCAGGTACTACTACATGGCTTTCCTCTGAGGGGTGCTAGACCTAACAACTTGCTTAAAGCTTAGAAAGCATGAGCACACAAGAGCACAATGACTTGCAAAACCGAGACCCAACTGTGGTCCCCAACCCCAAAGACGCTAGCTCACTTTAAGAAAGCACTGCCCACTGAGTGGGGGGCAAGTGGGGAAAGGCCTATGGAAGAGGAAACCCACAGAGCACGCAAATAGCACCAGAGCTGCCCCCTGAGCCCTCTACCACAAGTGATTTCACTTCTAAGTGTTTCTGCATTCCACTGCATTCTGTGTCTCGTGGCAGAATTCCTTCCCCCTAGAAGACTAAGAACTGAAGATTAGAACCAGCCCAGACCCACCTGCAACACGACCACCTCACTGTCCCCTTCCACAAGCATGAGCATTTCATCATTGGCAATGCCAAGACCGTCAAAGAACAGAACAGAACCACTGGCAACATCAGATTGGCAAAGCAACCTCTGAAGCCCGGAGAAATCGCCATCTCTCAAGAGAACCACGGATGTGTCCTGTGCCGCCAGTCCAGTCCACTTCTGGGAGAACAGAAATCCTCAAGGCTAAAGACTCAACAGCCTATAGTCAGAAGTGGGCCCCCATGGCGGCAGAGAGGAAGGGAAGGCCGGCGTCATGAGGGCTCTGAGAGAAGATGGCTCCGGAATGCCCAGCCGCCATGGAAACGAAGATGCCCACTTCACTCGGCATTCAGCTACTGCTTTGAAACGGGCAGAAATAGAGTCGTGATAGCAGTTTCTAAATTGACACGTTTCACAGCTCAGCTTTATCTAGAAGCCGCAGGCTGCTCGGGCAGGGGCATTCCATGACAGCCATGCAGGATATAAAAGCTAAGTGAGTTAGGAGGGAAAGCCAAGGGCCTCGGAAGCGCCTGCCTTTCTTTGCACCTGATACGACTGTGGCAGCAAGGATGCTCTTTCCGAGCATGCGATTGCCTGAAATTTTCAGTATGAGATGTTGTTTTTTAATGGAGAATAAAAATCTCCAGCACTCACTTTGACTTACACTTCTGAGGAGCAGAGAGGGAAGCATGGTGAGAAGCAAGGCTAAAGGCAATTTCTGAGGGAGGTGGAGCTCAGGGTGGCTGTGGGCGTGAACAGGAGGGCTAGTCACCCTGAGACAGGCATCTTGAGCTTTAGGATTCCTCCTGAGTATTGAACTGGACTGAAGACACAGACTTGCAATGTCCACAAAACAAGTGACAAGCATCAGCAAGGGAGGGCTTTCCAGGGGAAGGGGCAGTGGGGAAGAGAACCAAAGATTGGGGGGACTTTGTGCAAGAGGTTTGAGGTCCATGCTGACTGACAGCACATGCACTCTGCACCATTCCTGAATCGCCTCTCTAGGTTGTAATTAAATAGCCAATGAGATGGAGTTCTTTTACACTCAGAGCCACTCGACAGTCCCAGCATGAGCCTGGCATGATGAATCTTTGGAAGAAACATTACCCAGGGTATGTCGTCTGCCATCAGACCTAGCAAAGTTTGGACACTTACAAGAAAAATAACCAATAATTACATGGGGGGGCCACATTATTTTACTAATTAAAATATGGTCTATCCAGAAGCCAGAAGATTAAGGGAATGAGATCTTTTGGTTAATTTTCTGGTTAACTGAGTGTTAAACAACAACAAAAGGCTATTTTATTTTAGTGTTTAAGTCATTCGTTTTTGACATTACCCTACACTACATCGGTCGGTCCACCCACACCCTTGCCATACCAGGAGTCGGTATAATTAACACAAGCTATTGCTTCTAGGATGCCTGAGGAGCTGGCCATTGTTTCTAGGACAGTTTCATGAACGTTGACATCAATAACAACTAAGAGAATGTATCCCGATACAGAGGTCTTGACAACTAGATTGAACATATTCAGAGTCCAGGCTGAGGACGGTGAGTTGATATTAAATCATTCGCTATTAAAAAAAAAAAAAGACCATTGGCTTCTTTGTCCTGATAAACAAGTTCTGCTCTGGACTGGCAGCCTAAACTTTAGCCCCTGGTCTGTGCACAGACCAAGCATTTACAGATGCATTCTCATCTCCCGGGCTTCCCAGGTGGTGCTGTGGATTGCTTCCGGAGAATGAAGGCGGGGCCATTCAAAATAAAGGCAGGAAAGCAAGGAGAGGATGGGGTGATACACAAAGGGGCAAGATGACCCACAGGGGGCACTATGAGGCAGGGGTGCAACACCACCCAGAGGACAAGACAGAAGACTGTGCCATGCAGTTTTGAATCACTCTTTGCAACTCAGATACAGATGTAAGTGAGCTTGAACAAAATGCCGCACACAGCACCACCCTAGAGTCCAGCTGCTGTCTGCAGGGTCTCTATTTGGAGAAAGCAACCCCCCCACCAGGCCATTGACTACCACCCAATCATCACTGTCAGCGCACCACAGAAATTGTGAGTCATTTAGAGGTTACAACAAGGACTAATGAATTCTCCAATTTTATAAAGAAAGGAGATCCTTTCCTGAAGGAAAATGATATTCTCAGGGACCAATGAAAACTTGCAGCTGCCTCTGTTCCACAGTCGGGAGACGATGTTGTTGCCCATATTCCATTACCAATCAATGTTGGTTTGAATAACCCAGGTAATTGAACCATGTCCGGACAGCACCCGGCCCGGGTCAGAAGCTCTGAGGCCGAGCCTGTTGTCTCTGCTCCGGGAATACCAAAATAGCCACAGCCTTTTGCTGAGTGTTCGGCTTTCAGAGGAGTCAAGGTCGGCTCCAACTCAGCCTTCCCTAACGCTGGGATGTAGATGTAAAAAGAGGTCAGGATTTTAATGACATGGCAGTGGAAGGGGGTTATAAATATATCTTCCAATTAGAGAATCACTACCCAGAAAGTTCATTGCAAGAAATTTACGTGGATTCATTTTTAGCTCACACACACACACAAGCGCTCACGCACAAGCAAATAAAATCATGGTGGCAGCCTACCGATTCCGGAATTGGCCCCAGTCACGACAACCACTTTGCCGCTGAAGTCTCGGCCCTGCAGGATTTCCATGGCGGTGGTGCTGCCGTCGTACCTCTGCCGGGTGGTGGGTTTGGTAGGATTGTCATCCACAGTAAATGCCAGCCGTGGGTCCAAATAAGTGGTCCTCTTGTTTATATGACTGCCAAGAAAAGGAGGTCGCATTTGGCCTGAGCCCAAGGGCCGTGAGCACTGGCATTCAGCACAGTATAAGATAATTACATTTCTCAGCTACCAAAAGCTTTTCTTCACATTGACAGGAAGCAGGCCCCTTCAGTCTACCTTCTGGCCTCCAAAGGACCACACAGCCCCATGGAACGATGGCCATCGAATCCTCTTCTTCCTTGTAGTCAGCAGCCTAATGCATACCACACTAACCCACTGGGGATCCTGCCTCCATAAGAAGCTAAGGAAGGTTTGGTTTAATCAGGCACATTGGAAACACTAGAGAAATACCCATAAAATCTGCAAAATTCAGCATTCAGTTTTTGAAGATCAGTTTTTGCTCCACTTTAAGGAAACCGAAACAGAAGTTGCAGAGGCCATGCCATGGGGGTGCTACTTTAGGCTCTGGACAGCTGGCACACACTGGGAGCAGGTCCTGCCCCACCACCATAGTTTGGTGTATCTTAACTACAAGTTAAAATGTTACATACATACCTTTTTTTAAAAAAACAAATAATTCCAACCAACTGACAACTCCCAACTCTGTCAACAGTCATTGCCCTCTTGACAGGAGTGGTCAAGAGGGCAGTTGGAGCAGTGGCCTGGGTTAAAATCCTGGCTCTACCTCTTACCCACTGTGGCATCCTGAACAAGCCACTCGCTGGCTCAGTCCGAGCCATCAGCAGTGAACCACAGGTAATGAAAGCACTACTGCCTTAGGGTTACTCTGAAGACTGAATTAGCTAAGGCTTCAGAGCTAAGGTGATTTAGCTCCCCATCTCATCTGATCTCACAAGGTAAGCAAGGCCAGGCCTGATTCCTACTTGGATGGGAGACTACGAGGGAATACTGAGTGCAGTAAGCTTTGGAAGGGGCCCAATGGTGTGCTGCTGCTAACTACAAGGTATTTCAAAACCACCAGCCATACTGCTGGGAAAAACATAAAGATTTACAGCCTCAGAAACCCACAAGGGCAAATCTACTCCATCCTGTAAGGTTGCTATGAGTCAGACTTGCCTTGTTAACACTGAGTAGGCTTTAGAGCCCTGATGGCACTGTCAAATAAGCAAGAAACTGCTAACGGAATGGTCAGCGGTTCAGAGCCGCCAGCCCTTCCACAGGAAAAAATGAAGCTGTCTGCTCCCACAAAGACTGACAGCCTTGGGACCCCTGTGTAGGAGCACTATGAGTAAGGGCTGACTTGATGACAGTAGGTTGAAGCTATATGATTCCTAAGTGATTAATGTTATCGTTTGTTATTAGAATGTACTTCAAGGGCAGAATCAGAAAGGTGAAAAACTTTAGAGACAAGGATGCTCAATTTACAATTATAATCTATAAATGGTTACATTTTTATTTTTATTAATAAAATGGTAAGTTATAGAATATCTGTATAAAATACTCAGTCTCTACAACCCAGGCTGTCAAGTCGAGTCTGATGCCCTGAGGCTATCTTTCCAGAAGCAGGCTGCCAGGTCTAGTCTCCCAGGGACCAGCTAAAGGGTTCAAACCACTGACAACTTGATTATCAGCTGAGCACTCAGTCTGTAAACCACCTGGACACTTCAAAATCCTTAAGAGTGACTAACTCTCTGAGAAACGATAGGTCTGAGAAATTGTTCATAAGATAAAAAGCTCCAACTCATTGCCATCAAGTGGATTCCAACCCTGGTGACCCTACAGGACAGAGTAAGACTATGCCTGTCCCTGTGGGTTTTTGAGACTGTCAATCTTTGCGAGCAGAAAGTCTCAGCTTTCTCCTGTGGAGCAGCTGGTGGGTTTGAACTGCTGACCTTGTGGTTAGCAGCCCAATGCATAACCCATTAGGCCACCAAGGCTTGGTTCACAATGTATTACACAGGGAAAATGAATTCCTCTGCAGTTTCCCCGAGCACATCCCCTTCTCTTGTTAGTGTTTAAGAACATTTGTGCAGCACAGACAGGAAGAGCTCATCCTGCAGGGAGCATGGTGAGTAAGTATTCCATGTGGTTCTAATTTCCCCCATTTTTTATAGTTGATATGTATTTCCACTCCTAATATTTAAACCTCATTAAAAAGTAAGGAGACCAAGAAGAGTCTCTCGGTAGATACTTACTCCACAAAAAACACTTGTCCGTTCTCATCAGTTTCTTGTTCCCAGCCATATGGCAAGTCTGAAACACAGCAAAGATTGACAAATTGGCAGGGGTCCTGGTAAACAGAAGCCCCCCTCTCTAATCCTCCCAGGTAAGAGAGGAAGACCCACACCTGGCAAGCCCCTGCCCAATAAGCCTATACCACCAATCCAACAGCTTCAACACCAAAAAGTCATGTGATCCAATTTTGGCCACCGCACAAGGTCTAATAACTAACCCAATGGACCACATATTTGTGCCTATTGCTCAGTCTTAAACACTACATCCAATTCCTGCCTCTGCGATGCTCCAATCAATGTGAATTCTCTGCTGAATAAATCTATAGAACTTATCTATATGGGTAGCAGGCACCCAACACCTCATTCACATGATGACTTCTGGCATGTCATGCAATATTATACGTGTGTGTGTGTGTGTGTGTGTGTAGTGTAAACACATACTGTTTCATGTTTACATCCTATCTCTTCAACTGGACCCTAAAAGCCCTTGAAACAAGGACCTACCTTCCTAACCTTCCATCCCTGGGATCTCCTAGAGAGAAGCACCTAGAAGGCATGGGGATCTTTGTGGAAGCCACACAACACTGGTATCTTTATCGGTGCCATGAACCAAGAGCACCTCTACAAACAGATCATGTGACAGTACAAAGATACACTGTGGTCCAAGGACCTGATTATTTTAATACCAGGTTTTACTTTTATTTTATTTTTCTTTAAGACCAATAAGAAGTCATCCTCACTCCACTCCACCATCTCATCCCATTCTCCTGCTGAATCCTACATGCACCACAGAGCTGACTGCAGCTCCCTAATGGTTTGCCAGAGAGCTGCCCCAGAGTGACATGCTGACCCACCTGGATGATGTCTAACCAGTGTTTTAAACACAAGGCCCTGGGCCCTATGATGACAGAAAAATACAAACCTCCAGCTACTCGCTTTCTTTTCCCAGTTTTCGGATGCTCCCACTGAGTCTTCTCTTCGGTGTGACTGTCAAAAAAGAAAAATTCCACAAAACAATGATGAGCTATAATGACATTTCTAGTATGAATCCCATTGCAAAGAATGGGGATTCTGGAACACTCCACTGTGCTCATGCAGAACCTAGAGAGGGCTAGAGATAGTCATGCACACAGAACCCAGGGAAACTGCATGGTTCAAAGCCAGGAGAGGTGTGTGACACGGTTGTATCCGTTCATCACACTTGCCATTCCCCACTTATTCAATGAGCTGAGAGGCTGGACTCCATAAAGAACGAGGGCTCAGATTGGAAAAGGCTCATTAACCACTTACGCTTGCAGAGGGCACAACCTGGCTGGCTGAAAGCTGAGAAGACTGGAAGTGCTTACTGACAGAGATTAAAGATTACGGCCCTGAGAATGAAAACCCACACAACTGGCCCAAGAAGCAATATCATGCTAAGCATGGAAGAGATTGTCAAGGATTCAATTTAACTAGGATCCACAATCAAGGAGCATGGAAGCAGCAGCTGCCAAGAAATGAAATGGCATATTATATGACGTACGTCTACCACAAAAGACCTCTTCTGAGTACTGGAGAGCAGAGCTGTCACTATGAAGACCAAGGTGTGCCTGGCCCAGGCCATGGTATGTTCAAATTCCTCCAATGCATGCAAAAGCGGGATGATGGAAAAAGAAGACAAAGACGAGGGAAGAATTGACGCGTTTGAATCACAGTGCTGGTGATGAACACTCAAAGTACCAGGGATTGTCAAAAGAACCAACAAATTTGTCTTGAGAGAAGTATAGCCAGAATGCTCCTTGGAAGAAAGGCTGGACATGTTATCCCAGGAGGAGGACATGGTACTTGACAGTGTAGTGTCGGTGAAGAAGAGGAATAAAGATCCTTAATGAGATGGACTGTCACAGGAGCTGGATCAATGGGCTCACACAGAGTCACGACTGGGTGGAGTCAGGATGACACAGAGTGGGCACTGCTTTGTTCTGTTGCTCATAAGGTCCATACGAGATGGAATCAACTCAAGGACAGCTAACAACACACTTCTAAAGATAACCGCATTAAATGCTTTCCCTTCCAGGTGATGCTGTCATTTAAAAGTAATAGAGCCAAACATTCTGTCAAAAAGACACTTTCTTCCGTCAACATAGACTCCTGTCACAGGTCTGCCTCTACGTTGGTATGAAGGTGGCGGCTTCCCGCCTCCCTCACATCATTCACAGGACAGGATCTACGTCTCCCAGGGCCCATCACTGTCTGCCACCACTTCAGTCGTGCTGGCCACTCCCTGTCCTCAGCCCTGCCTTGCTCCCTCCTGCCTCAGAGACTGCACCCTTGCTGCTCCCTCCACAGGGCCCACTCCCCTGTGGCTCCTTCTCATGTTCCCAGTCAAAATTCACCTCCTCCAGTAAGGCTCAGTCAGTCTCTAGCTAGAGCAGACCCACCGATTCCTACCCAACTCCAAACCCCATACCAAACATAAACCTCAAAAGGAACCCTGGTGGCACAGTGGTTAAAGCACTCAGGGGATACCACCTGCCAGAAGTCTCTGCACTGCTCACACCCTGCTTTCTTCTGGTGCCTCATCACCGGTTGCAATAAAACTATCTACTTGCTCACTGCTTGTCTCCAACACCCCCATCTCCTGGGCAGGAATATCTTATCCAGAGCCTGGCAAATGGTAGCACTCAAGAAATACTTGTTGAAAGGGGAAACAATGGAATGAAAGATCGAATGAATAAATGAACAAGTGAGGTCACAGCCCCGAGGTGGGGCACAGACAGACGGCCATGAGACATGCGGAGCAAGATAGAAGTCACGGGCTCCTCAGAGTCAGAAGGAGGAGCCCCTTTCCCAACAGCAAGGAGGCTGACCCCAGGGTAACAGTGAGGAGCAGGACCAGAGAGTGGCTTAGGGAGGAGGAAAGGGTGAGAGGAACGAGGACGCCAGGGACAGCCAGGTCAGAGGGGGGTCAGGCCCTGCCTAACTCCGTTTCTTAACTTGTACCCGCCCTTCCCAGTCTGCCCTGGGCATCTTAAAAGCATCTGTTCTCCCACATGGGACAAACGAATCACTTAACAGTCACCCCCAACCCTAACTCCCTCCTAGATGCTAATAACCAGAGAGAATAGAAGTTCCACCATGGGTCTGTTCTGAGCATTGCCACCCCCAAGGGAGACCCCAAGGTCTAACTGAAGAAGGTAACGTGGTGGTTGAAGACTCTCCAACCCATCAGATGTATGCCTACCACATGCCTCAGTTTCCCCATTAGTAAAATGGGGAGAGTATTAACGCTTTTTGTTGTTGACAGGTGCCAGCTCACTGGGACCCCAAATGACAGAGCAGAATTGTCCTATGTTTCCTAGACTGTAATGTTTGTGAGAGCACATTAACCCTCCTGTAGAGCCACAGGTCGCTTAGTAAGCTACCACTTGGGCTGCTCACTACAAGGTCAGCAGTTCGAAGCGAGCAGCAGGTTCTGTTTGAGAAAAACAAGACTTTCTCCTGCATTAAAAAAATCACAGTTTCGAAAAACCACAGAGGCCATTCTACCTCATCCCACAGCGTGGCAATGAGCTGGAATGCATTCACTGGCAATGAGTTTGGGTCTTTTGGAGAGTCACTAGTGCATTAGAACTGATCTTTTCGTTCAGAGTTGAGTGCTTAACCACTGTGCTACTAGGGTTCCCTGCAGTCATACCCACTTGGGGTCAAAAAGGACTGAATAAGCCAGCACGTAAGAAGGATTCTAAACTGGGCCTTCCACATAGCAGTGTTTTTCCAAAATAAATACTTCTCCATGAAAACTAATTAAAAGGTATTCCTTTTTACTATAACCTAAACTTACTTTAACAGTCAAGTCCCAAAAACGTTATCCTTCCTTAAGTCCTCGTAGAAGCCTCTTCTTTTTCTGTCAGACAACTTTTGGCAAGAAATACTTATTCATGATTTTTATTTCAAGCAAAACCAAACAAACTCACAGCCATGGAGTCAATTCTGACTCACAGTGACCTTTTAGGACAGGGTAGAACTGCCCCTGTAGGTTTCCCGAGACTGTAACTCTTTACTGAGTAGAAAGCCTCATCTTTTCCCCACAGAGTGGCTGGTGGTTTCAAACTGCTGACCTTGCGGTTAGCAGTCTACCTTCAAAATTACATTTTGACATTATGCGAACAGCACACTCAGGGAAGAAATTCCAAGTCTCTTGCTTTTGAAGCAAAGTTTAAATCAGCAGGGAGTGCTAAAACCCCCAACTCAAGGGGCCCAGAGAAGTGTCCTGAAAAAGAGCAGCATCTCCCTGCAGGGAAGGCTGGAGATGGGAGGGACGGCCAGTAGTGGTGTAGACTTGGATCAGAAGCCTCCACTTCTCCCCCAAAAAGATCTAAACTCCTGTCTCTCTCTCTCTCTCTACTTGGATCAGAACCCTCCACTTCTCCCCCAAAAAGATCTAAACTCTTCTCTCTCTCTACTTGGATCAGAACCCTCTACTTCTCCCCAAAAAAGATCTAAACTCCTCTCTCTCTCTCTGGCAGTGAGCCTTCGGTGGATGGGAAGGTCCCAGAGCGCCCCTTTCTTGATAAGAACCCAGATTGAGCCACAAGTGCCTCTCCCTGGAGACTCCAGGCTGGTAGGGGGGGGGTCCCAGATAATGTGGGTGCCTTTGGGTTCTATCAGTGCCCCACGGTGCATTTGGTCAGGGGAGTGCGTAAGAACAGGGTAAGACTGGGAAAGGGATTTCCACAAGAACCCAGAGATCTAGGACCTCCAGGCCTGCCAGGCCTGGCCCAGCTGCGCACGAGCTGGAAACAGGCCATGGCTGGTCAACAAATAGAAAGTCTTCAGGGGAGACTCAAAGAGAAGGCTGGACTAGCAAAGACACTTAACTGGCAGGTCAGGAGAGACCCAGGGGGCTGCTGAGAAGCCGGGATAGGGCAGGCCAGAGGTGTCACTTCGTCCCAAGGGCCAAGGAACAGAGGGCCTCGGGCAGGGCAGGAGAAGAGGCGAGGAGGGATGTGTCCTCCAGCTATGGGAGCCTGTCCGTACTGGGGGAAGACCCCCCAGCTCTCCCAGCAGGCAGGCAGTAGAGAGGGAACCGTGAGTGACAGGGCACGTGTGTACATTTGTTATCACTCACTAGCCATTTGTGCGAACGCGGTGCTTTATGCCAAATGCCTGATCTATCGCTCCTGGCGACCCCTGGTGCAGCCGAGGTCGCCAGCAGAGCCTTCGTGTCCTGCAGCTGCCCAAGGTCACGCAGTAAGTGACGGGGACCACACTGGAAAACGGACCAGGAAGCTGGGCATTTGTTGACAAGCACCTACTGCCATGCCCCCGCCCCGGCGGGGCACGTGGCTTCATTTCCTGTGGGGCCGCTGTGGCCCCGGCCCCGTGAGCCCCTCCCCCACCCCACCCTCGGCGCCCTGTCGCTGCCGAGGGGCCCTCGCTGGCCCCGGGGCTCCCGCGACGGACTCGCTGCCGCAATCCCTTCCTCTGGGCGGGCCCGCGGGGCGGCGCAGGTGGCGCGTGCGGGCAGCGGAGTGGCCCGGAGCGTGAGGCCGTCGGCCTTCAGGGGGGTCCCGGCCCGGCGGCACCCACTGCGGCCCCCTTACTTGGCATAGTAAACCCAGCCGTCCTTGGTGGTCCTCTCCTCCCAACCGGGAGGCAGCTCGTCCTCGCTGTCCGTGTCGTCCAGGCCCGCGTAGCGAAGGGCTGCCATGGCCGGCTGAGGAGGCTGCTGGGTCACCCACTCGCTCAATCGCCCGCAAGTCGGGTCGCTTTCCCTCAGAAACTCCTGCTTCAAACCAGCGCCGCGCGCGTCGTCCCCGAGACCGCTCGCGCCTGCGCACTGCGCCGCCGCCTCTCTGCCGACTCCGGACCCTTGAATCCGGTCTCCAGACTTTCCCAGCTGCTAGTTGTAAAATGGGAGGGGCACGACGAGGAGCGCGGCAAAAGCGCGGACGAAGCTGCGCCGCCACTTGAATGTATCTAAAACACGGAGAACGCTCAAGGATTCCGCAGATGGAACGGAGCTTCATCAAACTGTCAGCCGCCGGGGGTGGGGCGTGAGCGTCCAATCACGGCCTAGGACTCCACCCGTTGCTGGGAAACCCATAATTCCTTCCGTGTTGTTCTGCCCAATCCTGTGAGGCTTCCGTGATGGGGCATCCTGGGAAATGTAGTCCGGGCCCCGCCGCGTCAGAAAAGTGGAGCTGACAGAAAGTATTCCCATAGTGGTCCTCTGAGCTGCAGCCCCTCCTGGGGTTGGGGCCTTAGGAAGAACGAATGTTCTCAGAACATTCAGAATGTTCTCAGAAGCCTTCCGGGGGCGCTCCTTCGCCCAACACTGTGAGTCTCCAACCGGGTTGTGCATATAGAGCACCTGCAGAGCGTCCAAAATGCCGATGCCCGCGCTTCCAAATTCCCCCAGTCAGCCTGACAGAAGTTACTCTTTATTCCTAATACTTGGCGGTTATCCCGTGATACGTTAGCATTTACCGGGTCCCGGGCGAGGAATCCACAGGCTAGCTCTTTCCTGTGCCTGACGCCTTTGTGGGGTCTTAGCAAAGTTGAGACTCCACCCCTGCGTCCTAATGATCCCTGTCCTGACTACAGGGACGGAGGCAACCCTATCCTCGGCTTCTTTTCTCTCGCTAGCATTTAGTAAAATGTCTGCAGCCACAAAGTTGCTGGATGAATGAATGAATGCGATTCTTCAGCACTGGGACTGATCTTTTAGGAAGCAACCCTCATGAAAACAAAATTTCAAAGCTGACCCCTTCACATTCTCTTGGAGCGCGGCGAGCAATCTATTTTGTCTGAGTCAAAAAGCTACCAAAGTAAATATCTTCCACTTGCCCCACCCTATGATGTTTTTCAGAATATATCCCCCTTTGGGGTTTGGTGCCCTTCCCTATGTTATAGGGAAATCTGTGGATTATCATTTCTCTGCCTTAAGTCTCTGAATAATGCAGTCCTCAATCCGACTCTCAAATACTGCGGGTTTCCAGCAAAGCAGTGTTGCTTTTTGTCTTTTGAAGTCCCGAACTTGGAATTCCTGTAGATGGGCTGCTGTGCAGGGTCCTCAGGGGAGAGATTTGCTTTCCTTTGAAATTGCCCAACCAAAAAATCTGATTTAATAAAATCACGTTTTCATTTGAAGAGGCCTGCTAGCCTAACTCAAACCTAGGGAAACGCATTCCCCACCCCACCCTCAAATCTATGTGTATTTAAATCCCTCATTATTAATCTCTGCTCCCTCTTTCTCTTCTCACCTGAACCCACTTATTCCTTTGATAGGAATAGAAAGCTAGGGCTTTAAGTGCTCTGGTGGTCCGAAAGGGGGTGAATGAGGCCAAACTGATTATTAGCCTCAGTGGCGGCAAACACTATCTGTGGTTTGTACAGATATCTTGGGTTGTGCCCTTAATGAGAGAAGCTTGAGTTTGTGTTCAACCACTAAAAGATGTGATCATTCCAACCACTCAACCCTGACAAATTGCTTCTCTAACAAAAGCCTATGGAGGAATTCTACTCTAACACATGAGACTTTCATGTTGAGAGGTGGAAAGGGGGCACTCATTGGTGACCACAGCTCCTACTAGCCCCTTGTGGCCTCTGACTAGGCATCAGGCCACACAGGTGGTCATAGAGCAGGGTGCCCTTTCCCTAACAGGGTAGTGGTCTCCCTGGTAGAATTCTCAAGCTCTGGGTCAACATTCTGCTGTTTTCACCTCAAAGTCCTCTCCTGCCTTCTGCATTTCAGTTTCTCGGCAAATCATTCCCCTAGGGAGAGTCTTTCTTATGCAACACCAAGGTCAAGACCCACTAGATGCCAATGCTCCTCCAATTATGACAACCAAAACTCTCCCCAGTGGTTAACAAATGTCCCCTGGGGAGGGCAAACCATCCCCAGTTGAAAATCTCTGATCTCTACCAACAGTCTATCAGAACATTGCCAACTAGGGAACCCATGCTGTGATGTCCATATCCAAGTGTTGAAGGACCCATTTCTGCCTGAGGACTATAACGTGTACCTGCCTCT